CTCTTCTGGTCCTTTTTCTTCTGCCATTTGTTTGTTCAGATAAGCACAGTCTGCATGTACAGTATTACGTATATTCGTTCTTTTAGCTGCATATGTGATGTTAACAGTGTGGGCAGACGCATGAGCACGTTTCTGCATGTTTGTTGGTGGTCTATCTTGCCTCAAAAACATTCAAAGCTGAAGAGAGTGAATAACTTAAAACCACTTCAGTAAAGGGCTCCCTGTAGAGGTTCCAGCTGTGCACCATGACCGCCAGGTAAGCGGCCTTCAGTCTCCACCTGAGGTCTGAAGCTGCAGGGAAAACAAGTGGAAATGTGAGGCCCCAGTTCATACAAAACACACAGTTCAACATGTTCAACAGTAGCCACCTAGCATTAATGTGTATCAGACTCATCTTAACTTAAAACAGATATGTTTGCTTTAAAGCACTCTAGTAATTAACCAAAAAATAACAAGTAGTCAACACACTTGAAGGTACTCATGGAGGGTGTGATCTAAACTCAATACCTTCATTCAGCCACAAGGTGGCAGAAACCACATGATATTGTACTCTCCGGCCTGATGAGATGAGTATTTAATGCTTTTTACATGTTTTTCACTTGTCAAAATATGTCACATGGCAGTGTTGTGATTACATTGACTCATTTGTCTGGATATTCCTGAGACGTTATCCCTTTAAATTAGGAAATACATAAAGACCATGCCAGCCAGAATGGAACAATGAAATTATTTATTTAGCACTTTTAGAGAGTAATAACATAACATACAGTTAACTGCAGGACAGGGGAGATTTAAAAAAAAGGATCAAGGGTAAAATACACCAAGCTCAAAGAAAATAATAAAAATCCTAATTTGCCAAAACAATCTCAGATGTGGGCACCCTGGTAGATCACCTTTTAGAATGAGTGCTCTCTCCAGCCCTCCTTCCTTGTTAGTCTTAAGTTTTACTATTAAATAAAGGTGAAAAGATAAAAATAATTTTAATTAATGCTGCAAACAGCAACGATCTGGCCCTCGCAGACAAAAGTTCATAAATAGCACAACTTTTAATCGTGATGGTGTTTAGATTACACTGACCAAATTTCAAGTCGATTCCCTTAGAGGAGTTTGTTGTGCAAAATACAGATAATGGCCGCTAAATCCAAAATGGCCGACTACCGGTCAGGTTTGGGCTATGGGTCTAAGACGCTTTTTTGTACATCTAGACATGATCTACGTGTATCCTGATTTTTTATGCACATTGGTGAAACGTGTCACGGGGGTGCACTTTAGGGGGCGCTGCGACACCCACAGCATCTCTATGAGATATAGTACGGTCAAATTTGAACATCAACAGCTTATGAATTGCAAAACTAATAGGCTCTATCACTCATTGCATCAAAAAAGTAATCTGAGTACACTGTTGATGGCTGCCTCACATAAACTGCATCCGTTTGGACCACTGGTTCTGCACGTCCTTTTTGCAAACTCAGAGTTAAAAAGCAAGTACATTTCCGGCCTAACATGTTACCTTGTAAGCATTACCCACAACACTGGTCTGTATATTGACATCTGCCAGTGTATCAATTGTATACAGCAGGCCTACAAGTGAGTGCCTACAAATACTGCATCTTCACATTTGTGGCACGTTTTTAGTTGACACTGTCCTGCTGAGCACATACTCATACACTGTGAATTGAGACAAGCATGCAGACACTTTATCTCCATGCACTTCAAGAAAATGCTGTCAGATTTTTGCCAGGATGAGTGTGGGTAGGGCGGTTGAATGATCGGATAATGCAGATAGTTATTAAATACTGCCCTCCAGAGGCTGGGGGCATTCAAACTAAAGAGCTGTCTCATCCCCAATTGCTGGCAAGCTGTACGTCCAGCTGCCTGTAATATTGGAGAGGGGAGGCTCATGCTAACCAGGCGTCAGGTCTGATTATGGTGATCATGGTTGTGAGAACTCTTCAGGCTACAGAAGCTTTATATGGAAAACTGAGCTAAGAGAGCGAGCATATTAAGGGCAGAGGGTGTGTGTGTGTGTGTGTGTTAGAAGGTTGGATGTGTGTCTCTGTGATTATGTGTTTGCTGCATGTTCATGTTTGTTGATTATAATGAGAAGCCTGTTTATCTGTCTGATGTGGATTTTGGTTCCAGCCATGTTTTGCTGTTCGAAACCGGTCTGCACTGTCAGCAGTAGTAGTAGTGTTCCCACCAGTCCACGGTCCTTCTCTCTGGCCTCACCATTTATTATTTCTGCCTTAAAAGGTGCAGATAGATTGGTGCCTGGTGAATTCACATTTGTGCCAAAAATGTGAACAGCCAGTGTTTAGTTTGTCTGTTCTGGGCTACTGTACAAACATGGTGGTTCAACATGGTGGGCTCTGTAGAAGAGGACCCGCTGTCTCTCTCTCTCTAGATAAAAACGGCTCATTCTAAGGTAACAAAAACACAATTCTTATTTTTAGATGATTATACACTAATGAAAACATACCTCTGAATATGATATTCCATTTCACTTCTATATTATGTCAATTTTATCAATACCTTTTTATTGATTTTATGACCCTCCATCAGCTTCTGAAGCTGATGGAGGGTCATAAAAT